AAGTCAGTCTAATCAAATAAAGAAACAGCAACTGCATAATTTTTCTAATGCCACAGCGCACTAGGCACCAAAGGGTGCTGCGCCTGCCACACTATCACTGAGCTAAGGGCCAATGGATTCCAGCAAGTAAATGCTACATGAATCATCTGCCCTTATTCAAGATGGCCACAGCCAGAAATGACAGGGGGTGTTTTTCCAAAATGATTTCTCAGCAAAATAAGGCATGGGATATGGATGGAGGAGTTTGCTTTGAATATTAACAATGAATTAAATAGCATTTTTGGTTTGTGGTGCTCAGATGCAATGTAGTTTCACTTTAAGGTAAAAAAATGTTTAGACTTTAGAATCACTTTAACCTTTCGGTGTCTATTAAACACTGAAATATCTAATTTTCGTGGATGGATCCTTTCACCAGCAGTTGATCTGCCTAAAGAATAACTGTGTAATAAATTGGTTTTCCATTAACGTTCATACTCATGTCACCTGTATCACCCACCTGAGCCATCCCGCCAGAAAGCTGTCAATGTACCTGACAGCTCAAAAACAATCATAATCAAAAGCAGTGTGTATATGTGTGTCTGCAGGGCAGGGAATGCCTTGACCACTTATGATTGGCTAAGTACATTGACAGCTTCCTGGAGGCATAGCTTAGGTGGGTTTGGAGTAGGATCTGAACATGCCTGAGCTGATCCCAACTGCAGACTTGGTAGCCACCGCAAGCCCTGGGTGTCTTGGAGACTATAGCAGCAAGCAACCTTGAAAAAAATAATCAGCCAAATGACTGCCAATTTGAAATTTGTCATTACGTCCTTATACTCATTGGGTGACTCCAGGTATGACCACAGTAACTTAAAAAATACAATCTTTCATTCATTGTTTGAAATATATACATACATTGCACTGTAACTTCCACAGATTTGTTCACAGCTCCTATAGGATTTGATGCTTGGCATGTATAGACTCCAGACATTTTTCTTTCTGCAAGGAAGGATGTTGTGGTTTGCAGAAACATGTTGTTGAAGCTGCACTCTTCTTCAGGAGTTGGGTTCCCTTCAGACCGACAACCAAACATCCTTTCCTCTCCTTCTACCCAGACAATCGAGTCCGGACAGGAACTGTCACTGAATTCTGGCGGATCTGTGACAAGAGAAAACAAAGCTATTATATTTCAGCATGTCCATATACCCTGCTGGATTTATGTAGCACTATATGGCCCAAAGAATGGGGACACCTGACCCCCCCCCCCCCCACTTTTCTACCAGATTTGAGAGTGTGACTTTGGGAATTTCTGCCCATTCGACTAGAATGGGCAGAAATTGTGAGATAAGGTACTGATGCTGGACACAAACACTTGGCTCACAAGCTTTCCAATTCATCTCACAGGTGTTCAATGCAGTTAAGGTCAAGACACTGTGGAGGCAATTCAAGTTCCACCATACTAATCTCATCAAACCATGTCTTTATGGAGCTGTCTTTGTGCACAGTGGCACAATCATGCAATAGCAGATAAAGAAACATCAACAATTATTGTTTCAAGGTTGTAAGTGCATAAGTGTCTAAAATGTTCTAGTGTTACTAGTATCACTCACTGGAAACACCTGAACCCATACATTTGTCCACATGCTTTGGGTCCTGAAGTTGGTGTAGTGGTCAGGTGTCCATAAACATTTGGCCATATAGCGTATCATAAAATGTAGTCTCTTAAGATCCAAAATAGTTTGTGTTGCATAATTACATACAGTATCATATTTTCATTGTATACTGAACAATGATTTATATTTGTCCCATTACACACTCTGAGACAACCCGACAAGGACCCGGCCCCCCTCTTCATTTAGAATGGTACCCCATTGCACTTCCACAGCGCACTTGCATTGCAAGGCACCACAATCCACCACAACATGTGATGTGCTTTGCGTTACTTTGAATTTTTACATGCATTGAGATGCATTGTAGTCCATCCATCTTGCATGGGCTCCCCAATGCAGCGTAGCTGCAGTACTCTTCTATGCACCAAAACATGTACATTGTGGTGTAGCTGTGGCTGTGGTAGGATGCAGGGGCGGACTGACAACTCATGGGGCCCCCGGGCAATAGGGGATCATGGGGCCCCTGTGTCCTTGCCCAAACTCAAAAAAGCCTATGAAAAAGGTACCAGGGGCATCTCATGGGGCCCCCTACTGACCCGGGCCCTCGGGCAGTGCCCGAGTTTCCAAATGGTCAGTCCGCCCCTGGTAGGATGCTTTCAGGAATAAGCAGTACTCAGGAGTCTGCTCAAGGTCCCATGTTCTGTGCAGAAGTTCCTGCAAGCAGAATGAATGGAGCTTAGAAATACTGAGGATTATGAACTTCAAGGGTCTAGAGCAGTGAGCTGGAGATCAGGGATCTCTATATAATCTCCAATCCCAAATACAGAATACAGGAGAGACATCAAAGGTTTATATAGACCCATTATGTCTCCTAAAGTTGGCATGTCACCACCCACATCATGTGGACAAAGGGAACATCCTACACAAGTAGCAGTAATCTGGTTGGTGGAGATCAACAGCTAGACAGATAGTGGCCTACAGGGAAACTATAGTGGTTTTTACCCAGTTTTAGTTCTCTGAAACTAATATTTGACAGAATTATCTATATTATGTCTAAAATGTTTTACAAATAAACATTTACTACAGTGTGCTAGGCTAGTTGATAAGAGAGCCCAGTACTAGCACTACACTTAAGGCTGCTGTTGAAGATCTGAACAGGGCCATATGAGATGGAGGGGAGGCTGAGTTTCTCTTTTGTTCCATTCAGCTCTATATATGTAGCCTGAGATCCTGCTCTGCAAGTCTGTATTCTTAGACCTCTCTTTCTATGTCTCCTTTATTGATCAGCTGGTCACTCCAAGGAAGCTTCAAAAAGAAATAATTCTTCTTAAAGGTCCAGCCCTGTATACTGTCAAGTAGGCACAAGATGGTAATATAACTGTCAATGCCAATGTCTTCTGAAGTGCTTGTTTCCTGGCTGTCATTCTGATCTAATGGGTTCTAAAGGTTCTGAGAAACTGACCTGCAACAAGTATGTAGAATGGCTTCATTTTCTACAGGTCAATTACTCAAACAGTATTAAAGAAGGATTCCAGGTATGGCATTCTTTATATAGTCACATTGGTCCAGCTTGAACCAATGTAAATATGTATATAACATGCCTGTGGGATCCCTGCAGAAGCTTCAAATCACTTTAGTAGACACAGCTCCTCCATTGATCTCCACCATCTTCCGGGTCCAGTGCTGAGTGGTGTGCCCTGCTGCATTCTGAATACAGGAGGTTGGCCGCTTGTGACATTGCCAACCAAAGTAACTATGAAAAAAAATGCCATATCTGGAATCCTTCCTTAAAGTATGAGACAGCCAGGTAACTAGGAACATCTAAGGTAGGTCAGTAATGGGAGCCTCTATGAATATTTTAATTTGGGTTTCCAATAGGTAAGAATAAATGTGAATAATAGAAAATAATCATAATAATAATAAATTGTGGTAATACGATTATTGAAAACAGTGGCGTTCCGAGGTAGATGCGGGGGTGCATGCCGCACCAGGTGACACCTACCGCATGGGGTGGGGTGACACCAGACCCGCTCCACGAAAGGTAAGTTGTAAAGCACCGGGTGACACTGACTGCACGGGGTGACACCAGACCTGCTCCACGAAAAGGTAAGTTGTAAAGCACTGGGTGACACTTATTGCACGGGGTGACACCAGACCCGCTCTGCGAATGACCCCCCGTATGCATGCCAACGATCCCCACAGGATGGATCGGATCTGCGGATTGGGGAGCATAATGGATCAGAGTCCGATCCATTATGCTCGATCTGCAGATCCAATCCATCCTGCAGGGATCGTTGGAGGGGGTGTCACCAAGTGTTATCGCACCGGGTGACACCAACCCTAGGGATGCCCCTGATTGAAAATACTATTATTGAAAATAAAATACTATAGACCAGTAGGGCTTTTCTTTTTTCAGGCAGGTCACATTAATCTTAAGAAACATTGATGAATATTGGTTGTGTTTGCTGCATTGCAAAACCTGTTTATGACACAAGACACTTACAGTGCACAGTGAGGGTCTCTTCTTCTTTAAGTAGCGCCTTATTATTGTCCCGAATGAATATTTCACAGGTAACAGTTAGACTTGGTTTTCTTTCTGTTATGGTGATTTTTTCAGCCAGGTCCGGGAGTTCCTCCTTCTTCATTTCTGCTCCATCCACACTTATGGACAGACCGAAGTACTCTGCATTACCCTGGACTATACCACAGTCAGCGGTCACCGTGTCACCCAGGTTTACAACCTCTCTGGACACTGTGAGGTTTACCTTAGGACGATCTGACAAAAAAAAAAGAAATAAATGAATAAAATAAAAATAAATACATTCAGTGAAGGTGTGAGTGGGGCACTTGCACCTCAGATTACACACATTTAGGCAAAACCATGCCCACTTTTATTTGTAAAAAACTAAAGGGAATATAAAATCTTTTAAAGTGCTACTAAACCCACAGCAGTGAAATTGGTCTGTATGTGCAGTAAAGCATGCTTGTTATACTCACTGAGGAACCTACGGGATTAATCCTCTGCATTGTGTAAAAAGGTTGTTTAATCCTGTCTTTTCTGATCCTCCCCTTCTTCCAGTGTCCCCAAACCATCTGCCATAGTACAGGGCAGCAGTGGCAAGTCTGCACATGCTCTATTTGGTGTGTAGTGTTAGAAAGTGTTGTTTTTTTTTTTCTTTTTTGAGGGAGTGCATGTGATAGGCACAGGGCCAATCAGCACTGTCCGGACAAAGGGTCAGGGGTCATGCAGCCTCATAGGACAGTCAGAGGAGAATGAAAGCTTCTGCTACAAGATTAACTAATGCTCTGCCAGACACTGATAGAAGTCACAAGACTGCTCTACCTACTGATAGAAAAGATGTTTAGCAGTTTATATTTACTAAAATAATTGCATTTCCATGTTGTGTGTACTGTGGGAGACCTGATATAGTGAATGCAGAGTCCTGGGAGACCAGATATAGTGAATGCAGGGTCCGGGGAGACCAGATATAGCACTTTACCCAATTACATAGTGTGAACAGGCTCTTATACTTTGTTGCCATATCAGCCACTCACTTCTTATGGCCAAACGTTTGGTTGGGAAAAGCACTGTAGGTGCGACATAATGGTCACATGACCACTCACCTAGGAGTACATGGTCCCTTATCCTCACTGAAAGCATAGGGCATCTGTCCCAGGCCTACGCACATCAAGAGCAGTGGTGTATTTAGGTTTTGTGCTGTCCTAAGCAACACAAAAATTGCACAGCCCCCACGCCCACCCTGCAGGGAAGCCTGACTCAAACCACACCACCCAACCTCTCAATGGCCTAGAGAGCCTTCCATGCCTCTCCCCCCCCACAGACCCACTACCACGATTCCCTCCAACGGTTGAGAGAGAGAGAGAGACACCGTCCTTCACAGCTCCGGAGATCCCCGGGAACGAGAGTCGGGCTCTGCATACACAGTCAACAAGCCCACAGCCTCTCATGGATCCCACCTGGTCCCCATGCCGCGGGTGTTTCCTCTTCCGCAAAAAAAAAAACTCCGCCCTAGGCAAATGCCTTGTTTGCCTTGTTGTGAAAACGCCCCTGATCAGGAGTACATATTCCCTCATCCCCAATGGAAAAACAGCACAGGCATGCCGTGCCCTAAGCTGCAGAGCATGCTTTGTAGACATCACATAATGGTCTCATTCCTAGTACCATAATACCAGAGTACATGCTAGGCTGAAGTACGCAGATAAAAGTGGCTACATCGGGGCTCCATGGGACACTGCAAGGCAGGTTAACCACTTAAATGTTAAGTATACAGAAGCAGCACAGCAGAAGGCCCCTGCATACAACCGTCTTTGTCAGGTAGAAGCAGCTGATGGAGGTGACAAGCGGCTGTCCTGCTCTGACATATTTATGTGTTGGACTATTGGCATTCGTAAGCAACGGATTTTTACAGAGAACCCAGATAAGAAGTAAGAGGACCCAGGAAAACGTGAAACAGAGACAAGAGCTCTACCTGCTGACCAAAAATTTAAATACATCATATTTATAGGCAATATTTCGCAGTAGCCCATAAAAATACAAAATGGCACCATAATTTGTTGGGGTGGACAGAAGACTAGACAGGTAGAGTGTTCTGCACTTTCCTCTCCAGCTCCTTCTGTAGCTGTAATGGTTCTCAAGGGTCCAGACCTCAGTCCTATAAAAAGCATTGCAGGTACATTGAGGGGCTGAAGGGTTGGGTGTCATGATGGAGATAGAGAAAGATTAGAATGATACTCCGGGATAGTGTAAAAATGACCTTTGCTGTACCCCCCTTGCACTGCAAGGGTTAAATGTTTGTTTTGTCAGTGTCAGGGGTCTCCAAACTCTCTAAACATTGAGCCAGTTTACTGTCCTTCAGACTTTACAAGGGCTGGACTGCAGCCAGTGGGAGTAGAGAAGGTCCTGAGGTCAGTGGGAAAAAAATAATGCCCCTTTATTTGGTGTCAGTGGGAGGAATTCTGCCCCATCATTGATGTCATTGGACCTTATAATTTGTATCACTGGAAGGAATTGTGTCTCATCATTGGTTCATCGGTGTCATTGGAAGGAGTTGTGCCCCCTTCATTGGTGTAAGTGGAGGGAATTATACCTAATTTGTATCAGTGGATGAAATAGTGCCCCAAGGGCCAGTTAAAAGCAAGCAAAGGGCCACATCTGCCCCCTGGGCCACAGTTTGGCGACTACTGGTCTATGGGGAATGGAATATTCATTAATACTGATCTTCTGCTTTGTTGTCCCAGCAGGTCCTCTCTGCTAATCCTGGGATGTTGGCAGGTCCTTGCCACTCTCACATACAATGCAGGACCGCTGGTCCTGTATTGTACATAATGGCGTTTGAAAGCCTACCACCCGAGGAGTGGCAAAGGGAACCAGCTAAGGGGGACTGGTCTTGCGGCTAGGGGAAGCCTGCAGAATAATGCGATACTTCAATGGAATGAATGCTTGCAGTGTGGTGTTGGTGCTGGGGGGAGTGTCATTTTTTTGTCCAAAAGGTGGGCAATGTGTGTACTATAGTGAGGAACGTGTACTTACCATAGATATATATTCCCATTTTGCTCTGCTTGGTCATAGTGAACACCTCAGATGCACAGAGCAAAGTATGCTGAGCCGCAGGTAGGTCATTGGTATTCAGATTAAATGAAGTGAACACATTCCCAGTGGCACTGGTGTCAGGAAAACCATCAACGGACAACATTGTAATGAAATGTTCTGGAGGGAACGCTTTGGGGACGTCACAGCTGATATCAGTCACCGTCCCTTTTTCCACCCAATCCTCGGCTGTAATGCGGAGACCCTCAGGCAGAGCTGTCATCAGAAGTAACAGAGAAATAAACGACTGATTCTTGTAACATAAATGGGCTTATTCAATAATGTAGAGGGATGAGGAATGAGAAAGAGCAGCAATCCACATTATCACATTATTACTCATATCATTCATAGAAAAAAATAATATACTAGGCTTGCTTGTACACAATCCAAGAGCAGCTAACATTTAAAACCCAGTACCTAAAAACCCCAAACTGCCCGTCTGTATCCACCAGCTCACAGCATCATTATTAATGACAATACATTTAAGCACGGCATAGCAGGAAAATCTATGGTTGTGTTCTGTCCCATCTGTATGTTTCTCTTTTGTATTGAACTGCATCAGGTTATTATTGTTCTGCAGTATGCTGAGATCTTGAGGTGGTTTAGAGCCACTACAAATTGTTTACTAGGTGGCAGGGGCGGACTGACCATTTGGAAACTCGGGCACTGCCCGAGGGCCCAGGGTCAGTAGGGGGCCCCATGAGATGCCCCTGGTACCTTTTTCATAGGCTTTTTTGAGTTTGGGCAAGGACACAGGGGCCCCATGATCCCCTATTGCCCAGGGGCCCCATGAGTTGTCAGTCCTCCCCTGCTAGGTGGTCTGGTATTTCCCTCTGTTCTCCCCTCAACTTTAGGGCTAGTTAGTTCAGTTCCAGCTAGACCACCTATTTCTTCCATGTTCCCTTTGTCAGTGTTAGTACTGCGCGCAGAGATAGGGCTTGGGAAAGTCATTGTCTTCTTACACTTCAAAAGACTGGAGAAAAATCAATGTACTGCAATTAGCTGAAGTAAAATTGCATTTGATTCAACTTCTGTGTCTTGTTGAAGAGTCAAAGTGCATGTTACCTCAGCATTTCATATTCCTGATATGTGTCTGTGCTACAGTGTTCTTGCATTATAAATATCCTGTTTTCTTTTCATTGCTTCCTTTGTGTGAAATACTTGTTGACCCTGCCAGTCCTCCTGCTTTCCTATTTCATACTGACCATCCCACGGCAAGGAAGCACATCCAACCCAGCATGGTCAGTTTTCTTCTTTGCATTCTGCTTGGGAGCACAGCCTGCTTGTAATCCAGTGGTTAGAATTCTGCTGACATGACCCCCCTGCACAGCCCTACACTGAGAAGATCAGTGTGCTGCTGTTTCTCTGCCTCCTGATGACATACCTCCTGCAATCTCTACCCCTATCTCTCCAAGTCCCTAATACAGCTGAGAACAGCTATGATCACTTATAAAAAAAGAAAAAGAGAACAAAGGCAATTATATTTTTTTTTGTATATATACACAAATCTTTGCTTTGCTTTTGTATTTTAAACTGAATGGGTGGTTTTACAAGGTGAGGGCTCACATATACTTTAACCTCTTGCCGCCAGTGCCTCCCGGCCCATTAAGGGGTTTTAAATGCTAGGAGGCGGGGTGGGGTTTGTGATCATGTGACCGCTGCTATTGGCTGTCACAGTGGTCAGATGATTGGAAAACTCCTGATCGCAAGTAGACATCGGGATCTTTCCATTAGCCACCAGTAACTGTGCTGGGTGCATAATCTGGGCACAGTTCTGTTTTTTTTTTTGGGTGTGCATATATGTTAAGGCCCACCTGCCACGGCTGGCGGGAAGGAGATAAGCAGCCTGTGGATGGTGTCAAGTCAGTAGGTGACCATACTATCAGGACAGACTGGGTCTAAGGAGATATGTCAATGCATAAAGCATTTGAAACAGAACACATTGGGGTTGATTTACTAAAACTGGAGAGTGCAAAATCTGGTGCAGCTGTACATGGTAGCCAATCAGCTTCTAGCTTCAGCTTGTTCACTTAAGCTTTGACAATAAAACCTGGAAGCTGATTGGTTTCTATGCAGAGCTGCACTAGATTTTTCATTCTCCAGTTTTAGCAAATCAACCCCATTATATTTAAGCTTTTTGTACTACCGACATGCTTGTACTGTATATTACATATCAAGGTGGAACACATATGGAAGAAAAATATATTTGAAATATTTTTTTAAAATACTCTTCCCAAAATATATAGATATATATGTGAAATATTACAATTTTGGCCATATTCAATATATTTAAAAATATATTTCAATAAATGAATATATATATATATATATATACACACATATATATATATATATATATATATATATATATATATAGTATGTTGAAATGTGTTTTTATTGCAGAATATATGAAAAATATTTGTAAAAATACATTTCTAATATACAAATCTACATTTCTGGAATGCATTTACAAATATATGTACAAATATGTTATTTTTATATTTTTTTTATATGTTAAAAAAAATCTGAAGAGTGTATTTAAAAAATATATATTTTTAAAAATATTTTTCATATATTTTGTAATATATAAAAAAAAGCAGTTCAATATGCAGTATATATATATATATATATATATATATATATATATATATATATATATATTGAAATATATTTTGAAATATATTGAATATGGCCAAAATTGTAGTATTTTAAATATATGTTAATATATTTGGGAATAATATTTTTAAAATATATTTCAAATATATTTCTCTTCCATGTGGGAATGGACACTCACAGGAATACATTCTGTACATACACCTGGTTATTAGAGGTGTAGGGACACCTAAGTATTGCTTGTGATAAAGGGTTGCAGGTTTTTAAATAT